CTGGGCGGATGAAGGATAATGAAGGAGCGGATGAAGGATGCTGAGGCTCATGAAAAAAGGTTAAAGGCGGATGAAAGATGCTGGGGTGGTTAAAAGATAGTGAGGCGGATGAAGGATGCTGGGGCGGATGCTGCTGATGTGGGATGTGTGATCTCAAGCCTTGTGCAGCCTCTCGGGCATCCCGACTGGAAGAGGTGCGCTTGTAGGTGCGGGCGGAGGTCGGGCTGTGGTGTGGGCGTGTGGGTGGAAGGGGTGGGTGTGAGTTGATGTGGGTGCATGTGGGTGGGTGCATGTGGTTGTGTGTGTGTGGGTCCTGGTGGGTGGGTGGCTGAGTGAGGGTGCATGTGGGTGGGTGCATGTGGTTGTGTGTGGGTGGGCTGGTGGGTGGGGCTGAGTGAGGGTGCATGTGGGTGGGTGCATGTGGTTGAGTGTGGGTGGGTCCTGGTGGATGGGTGGTTGAGTGTGGGTGGAAGTAAGTGGATTCGTGTGACTGTGGATGAGTGTGGGTGCGTTTGAGTAGGTGTGGACTGGTGTGGATGTTTTGTGTGGGTGCATGGAGGTGTGTTTAGAATGCAACAGTAGCAGGGAATGGTCCATCGAGTTGATTTTTTTGCAGTTGAAAAAAAAAACATATTTGGTGACTTTTCCTTGAATATTCTGATCACTTTTGCAATAACTAAAATGAATATCATCTATTTCATCGTTATTTTCGTAACTGGGCAGGGGAGTCCCTCATTATGCAATGAAGTTAGCATCGAATATATATAGCCCTTAGTAACGCATTCAATTCTAAGGTTACATAGGTCATTCTCGAGTGAAGTCAAGGATGACAATGCAAAAAAAAAAAGAAAAGAAAGAAGATAACTGCACAATACATAGTTACATACAACTTAGAAAAGATATACAGGAAAAATCTTCATTCAGTTCCATCTTTTCTATTTTATTCATTTTTTGGACATTTCCTTATTCTAACATTTCTACAGGCGTTCACATACACGGAGTGGGGCAACCTGGCGCAGGAACCAATACACGCAGCACACAACTTATGCAACAAGACAAGTGCTATTTACTAGTGTTACATCAATCAAGAAAATCAAAAGTTTAAAAACCAAACAAAAAAAACATTCATTTACTCACCTCGGCATTAATCAGAATGTTAACGTCAGAAACGGCAAAGAAACAAAAATATATGATAGTGTAAGGTTTTTTGTCTTCAATGAAATTATATTCTTTAAGTAATCTTGAATCCTTGTAACTGAAGTGAAAATATCAAGTCTTATATATATGTATATATGATGACAGCAAAAGAAAAGATTCATATTTGTTCCATGACTCTGCACCTTTTGGCACTGAAATGTTCAAAGGAAATAATATAAAATCAAAATACAAACTTTACCATGAGAGCCACCGAGAGCTTTGAAAAATGAAAATAAAAAATGTATGACACTATAGGAACACTCACAGGATCACAGAGAAATATACATGCGTCGGCCTCAAACTCAGAAGGGAAATGAAATACCTACAAAATTAAGGAATTTCGGTGCAGAAACAGAGGAGAGGATGTGTGGGGGAATCGTCAAATTACATTGATGTGATATACAGTGAATACGACACACACACATACACACACACGTAAACGTGTGTGTGTGTGTGTGTGTGTGTGTGTGTGTTTGTGTGTGTATGTGTGTGTGTATGTATGTATGTATGTATGTATGTATGTATGTATATATGCATGTATGCATGTATGTATGTATTTACGTATGCCTGTATGCGTATGTGTGTGTTCGTGCATGTGTGCACGCGCGCGTGCTTGAGCGTGCGTCTGTGTAGATGTTTAAAACAAGAAACTAAAGTAAACATGAAAACAAAAGAGGGAAAACAGGGCCGCAATGAATATTAGCAAAGCACAATATTTGGGAATGTTAATGTTAACTACAAAAATTGGGTATTTATACTTGGATCTTCATTACACGTTAGATATAAAACCATGACCAATGAACTCAAATGACAAAAGCTGACTCTCACAAAGGATATCAGTAGGACAAAAACTCATGAACACATTTTGGAACAGACAAGAATAAAACATTAACAGAGAGAGAGAGGTCTGCTACGCCCACTTGACTCTACGCATACAAGGAAACATGGGTCATCGCTTTGACCTGAGTCGACCCCACAGACCAGCATGCGTCGGAAAAGGGGGTTGGCACGTCGGAACTACTCTACAACTCAGACAAAACACGGAAGGAAACTCTAATCGGGATCAAACAGCTGGAAGAATCAACTGAACTCTTCGGGAACAAGAGCTATGACACACACTACAGCCACGGTAACTGCGGGGCCGAGAAGGGCAGAGGAGGGAAGGCGGGGAAGGGAGAAGAAAGTAAGAGGGTGGGAAGGAGGAGGGTAAGAAAGGTCAACGTCTTAGGCAGGGTTAAAGCGGAAGGTCACTCCTCACCGGTAGTGGGGCTGCCCGCATCTCCCGGAGGTCCAGATTCCTGAAGAAGTCCATGCAAAGGATTTCCTCGATGCTCGGGTACTGGTCGCCGTTGCCGAAGATGTACTCCAGCACTTGCACCACCTGCGGGCAGCCGGCGGGGTCATATCCTGCTTTCTATCTCTTTTAATCGTTCTTTAATTAATTATTGTTATATTGTATCCTCCATGATATACACGCATTCATATGCATACCTACAAACACATATATTCACGTATATTTTTTCTACTTTCTCTTTCTCTTATTTTAGTGCATCCACAATACAGTCGCTTTTATCTTTAATTCATCAATGCTTTATTAGAAACTGTATTGACATATCATCAAAAACGCCTAGACCAATCCAATAACACCTAGAACCCTGCCTCTTAAACGACAAACACGCCCCCACACAACACACGATTAGAACACAGACTCCTACACCCGCCCACCAACAGAAGGACAGGATTGCAGTGATTGCGCAAAGCTGTACCTGAGGATAACCTGCAATGTCGTCCAGGTGTTTGGGCGTCGGGTGGGCGGCAGACAGCTCGTAGCCAGCACACATCTCGAACAACACGTGGCCTGATGGTGCAATAAGGGTCATTTTTGGTTCTACTCAGGATGGGTATTGGTTAATTAATTATTATAATGTTCTTATTGTTGTTAGTGTTGATATTGATTTGTTATTACTGCTGTTATCATTATCATCAACACTATTGATGTCATTATAATGGAAATTAACAATTATAATAATAAAGATAATAGTAATAATAAGAGTAATGGTAACAGCAGCAGCAGCAGCAGTACTACTACTACTACTACTACTACTACTACTACTACTACTACTACTACTACTACTACTACTACTACTACTAGTAGTACTAATCATTATTATCATTATCATTATAATGATAATTATAATAATAACAACAACGATGATGATAATAACTATAATAATCATAATGATAAAGAAAATGATGATAATAATGATAATTATAAAAATAATGACAGAAATAATAAAACTGAATATCATCATTATCATTATCATCATCCTCGTTCCTAGTGTTATTATCATTGTCAATATAATTCTATTGATACTACTACTACTACTACTATGTTATTATTATTATTATCATTATCATTATTATTATTATCATTATTATTATTATCATCATCATTATATCATTATCATTTTGTCCTTTTTATTGCTATAACTACTGCTATATTTATTATCAGCATTGTTGTTGTTATTATCATTATTACTAATATTGTTATTATCATCATTATCTCTTATTACTATATTATCATCATTATCACTGTCATCATCATTACTATTACTATTATTTTTTTATCATTATTATTATCATTATTGCTATTGTCATCATCATCATTATTATTATATTTATCATCATTGTCACCAAATGATGGCATCACAATATAAAGATGAATTATTACAAAGTTATTATTTTCCAGTGTTATTACTATCATAATAACATCCCTCAATCTGGCATGATGATGCACATAATTTGATGATAATCATAATCAATTCTCATATTATAGAACATAATTACATAATTATACATAAAATACCTATCTACATAAAAAAAACTATCAGAGTTTATTATAACAAACACTTCTAAAAGGAAATCATAGTTACAAAGTTCACAATTGTGTAACAATAAAGTTCTCTTGTTATGAGTCCACGACTCTCACTACATATAACTATAATGACACTTATATAACTAAACATTTCTGAAACTAGAATAATCTTTACTCTCTCTCTCTCTCTCTCCTCCTCTCTCTCCTCTCTCTCTCTCTCTCTCTCTCTCTCTCTCTCGCTCTCTCGCTCTCTCTCTCTCCTCTCTCGCTCTCTCTCTCTCTCTCTCTCTCTCTCTCTCTCTCTCTCTCTCTCTCTCGCCCTCCCTCCCTCCCTCCCTCCCTCCTCCTCTCTCCTCCCTCCCTCCCTCCTTCTCCCTCCTCCCTCCCTCCCTCCTATCTTCCTATCTCTCTCTCCTCTTTCTCTCCCTCTCTCTCTCTCTCTCTCTCTCTCTCTTCTTCTCTCTCTCTCTCCCTCTCTCTCTCCCCTCTCCTCCCTCCCTCTCCCTCTCCTCCTCCCTCTCTCCCTCCCCCCTCCTCTCCCTCCCTCCCTCCCCTCCTCTCCCTCCCTCCCTCCTCTCTCCTCCTCCTCTCCTCTCCTCCTCCCTTCCCTCTCTCCCTCCTCTCCCTCCCTCCTCCCTCTCCCTCCCTCCCCTCCTCTCCCTCCCTCTCCTCCCTCTCCCTCCCCCCCTCCCCCTCCTCCCCTCCCTCTCCCTCCCTCCCTCTCCCTCCCTCCCTCCCTCCCCCTCTCCCTCCCTCCCCCTCACACGCCCGCCCCACCAGAAGGCTCCTCGAGGGCTCGAACGAGAGACACGAGCCACTCACCGAAGCACACGGAATCGATCGCGTCCTGTTGTCCCGAAGTCTTCGCTTGATGATGGGGTAGATCCTCGAGGTGAGGCCGAGGAGGGTATTTTCCACCCCCGATAAC